TATTTTTTTTACTGATATATTAAGAGTGGATTAAATAAAATATTGGCTGATCAATGACCACTTTTGAAATATAAATTTTAGAGTAATTTTATATATTTTATTATAAAAAATAATAATAAATTAACGACAAATTAAATAAACTTAGACATTTTTTTGTTCTTACAATTTCTTACAATTATGAATACTGCAATAGATTTTAACATGATAACATTTTATTATAGTATGTATACAATACATACTCTTTATTATTTTTATTATGTAATACCATGTGCTATTTATTTAGTATATAATACATACATCAGTACGGGCTGCGCCCAATCGTGGTATATTTTTTTTGCTTTTCTTTAGTATACAGGGTGTTCAGTAAGCTAGGAAACAGTTAAATTGTTACAAACAATGAGTACAATAGAAATTCGTTTTCTTATTTACTGAACACTCTGTATATAATGAACAGTATTATTTAAACGTAATCTAAGAAGGCAATAATAGTTAACAAACATTTTTCGCACAAATGACATTTGTATCAAAAGTTTTTAGCTTTGTCTGTTGGGACACTTGCTTATAATGGGAAGAATTTTACAAATACCTTATATAAGTATTCAACGAATGCATTAGTTATAATGAGTATGGATTATAATAAAGCACAAACAAATGATACAACATTAAAAATATTTTATTTTTTCTTATACTAAATTACTTCTTCTTCTTCTTCCTCGCCTTAATTCCAACTACTTGAGTCGGCCACCCTTATCCTAAACTTCCACTTGACACAATCTCCCACACCATCTACGCTCACATCAACTGTCCTCAAATCACATTCAATAGCATCCCTCCATCTCTTTTTTGGTCTTCCTCGACCTCTTCTTCCTTCAACATTCATTTTTATAACTGTTCTTACAGCTTCTCTCCTCATAACCTGACCAAACCATCTAAATCTATTTTCTCTCATCTTATCCACGATTGACGCTACACCTATACTACCTCTTATATGCTCGTTCCTTATTCTATATTTTCTAATCACTCCACTCATCCATTTAAGCAATCTCATCTCTGCTACACTCATTCTCTACTCTACTTTCTTATCAACTGCCCAACACTCTGAACCATACATCATAGCTGGCCTTATTACAGTCTTGTAGAATTTACCTTTCAGCCTCATTGGAATTCTTTTATCGCATAAGATGCCAGACGCTTCTCTCCACTTCAACCACCTACAGTTAATCCTGTGTCTTACATACTCGTCAATACCACCACTCTTTTGCACAACTGACCCTAAATACTTAAAACTCTCCAATCACGTCCTCGCCTATTGTCACTGATCTCTTCATTTCACCTACCTCGTGTTCTCTTTTGTCAAACTCGTACTGTATATACTCTGTCTTACTTCTACTTATTCTTAAACCCTTTTCTTCAAGAGCTGATCTCCACACCTTTAGCCTTTGATTAATTTGCTCCCTATTTTCTCTTATTAACACTATATCGTCAGTAAACAACATGCACCACGGCACCTCTTCTAGTATTTCTCTAGTAATTTCATCCATCACTATTGAGAATAAGTAAGGGCTTATAACAGAACCTTGGTGCAATCCTACTCTTACCCGAAAACCTTCTTATACTAAATTACTAAATTTATTAAATTACTTATTCTTTTAAATTGTATCATTTAGTTAACTACATATTATCATCACTTATTTGATTGTAATAATACTCATTTATAATCAGAAAACTCCAGAATTTAATTGGCTTATTTTATAGAATAATCTATATAAAGTGTAATAATTTATACTTTTTTTAATCACCATTTTTCTTTTTTTAAAAATGCTAAAATTCTGTAATTTTTTCAAAATATTCATTAAATACTTTTAGATTCAAGAGCTATCGTTAAGCTAATATATTCTCGTCCATTTGCCTAGAAAAAGTTTTAACAAGAATTCACTGCAAAAAACTTTTATCTTAGTTTATCCTGATTATTTAATTTTATAACGTAAAATATGTACCCGTCGTGAAACTTTTAGTAAGAAATATAAATATAATTTTTTGCACAATCTATCGTCTTTCGTATCTGAAAGGGTCAAATCATTTTTCTGTTTATTTATTATACGAAATATCGGTTATTTATATAATAAATTTTAATGATGCATATTGTTTTTGAGAATGTAAGTTTTGATATATAACATTATTCATACTTTATATATTTTTCTTATGCCATTGGTCATTGCTCTTGGACTTGTGTATTGAAAAACAGGTTATGTGTGAATGTCTATACATGATTAATTATATACCTAGAAGGTTTTGTAATGAATAAACCATAGTCATAGAAATGAAGTTGATCTATGATCTTTGACGTTTATGAACAGCAAATGAACTTAATTTGTGCATTACTTTGGATTATATAAACAGGAATTACTTAATAGTTATGTAATTGTTATTTAATATGAATAAACTTTATCTAGTTATAATTTAACCACAAATTTATCATCTTTATCAAATAGTGTATAAAATTTAGAACTGAAAATAGGATAACATATGATAATAATACATGATAGTTGTACGATTCACAAGAATATATAATTATTAATTTTTAAGATTAATTTTAAATCGATTATTAAAATATTTTAAACTTCTAAAATTCTGATATCGGTAATGATAATAATTCATCATCGAATAAAACAATCATAATAATGTTTTGAAGTAATACATCAAGAAGCATCTATATTATATTAAAAAAACAAAAGAATTGTATTTAAAAAAAAAAAATTTATTGCAACTTATATTTTAGAACACTTGATATTCAAATAACTACTAGACTAAGCATTGGGTTTCCTTTGGATACACTAGTATAAGATATTTAGCACTATTTTGGGCTCCTAATATGTATGATTAAAAGTCGTGATACAGTTATAGTGATATACAGGGTGTTCAGTAAGTCAGGAAACGGGTATCTATTGTTCTCATTGTTTGTAACAACCAAGAAATTGGTTGATTATTCTAAAAGCAAAATTAGCTCCTATTTCTATCATTATTCCTAATAAGTAGTTTTTTTATTAGTAATTTTTTTCAATTCTTGAGCGTAATGTCTTCGACGTGATTCAATTTGGAATCGTTTGACGTATCGTTGAAAGAAATCGTTTCGGTGAGAGTTGAGAAGAAAAATTGGTAACAGACACAAAAAATAAATAAATAAAACGCTATGATAAAATACAAGTTTAATTGGCTATAATTTATAAAATTATATTTGGATAAATATTTTAGTATAAATCAACAATTTAAAGTAATAACTGGAAGTGAGGAGTGGGTGCTGCTATTTAATCATTAAACATTTTTTGGCCTCACTCCTTTTTCCACCTTGGAATAAAAATGTTAATAACTTCCAAAATACTGATCCAAAAGTTGTTATCGATAATTCATTTTGTTAATTAAATTATTTCCTATTTTAAGAGCTAGTTAAATATGTATGTATCTATTTAAAACGTAAGGTATGAACAATAAAACATTTTATAATAGATAAATGAAAATGTATATCTAATTAACCAAAGTCAAATTAATTAATTCTAATTTCAATTAGAATATCTAGGCTAAACTAAGCTAATTGTAACTGATGCATTATCATTCTGTTTACAATGAACTAATAAATTCTTTTCTGTTTTACGATTTTAGCTTCGATGTGAAGCGAGAAGGTATTAATTTTACTATGATGTGTTTTTTTTTTTATGTCTGTTACCACTTTTTCTCAGCTCTCACCGATCCGATTTATTTCAACGATACGTCAAAATATCACAAATTGTATCTAGTCGAAGACATTACCCTCAAAAATTGAAAAAATTTCCCTCGTTTCGCATAAATGGGGGAAATCTCCAAAAAAATTACAACTTTAAAAATCGTTAATTTTTGAAATTTTTGAAATTTTTTTTCTTTAAACTGCCATAACTTTTTCAAAATTGAACAAATCAATATAATTTTTTTTAATAGATGGATAATGTCATCACCTATCATTTGATATATTTTTTTATAAATATGACCCTTTACCTGCCCACAGGGGGGATTCAAAATGACATTTTTTTCACAACTTTTTAAAATGTTCCGGAAATACTGACACTTTTATATATACCTTAAATTAAAGCTTATGTGATATACTTTATTATGTAAATAAAAAAAATCGGACTTTATTTCGTCTTCATGGTGAAAATGGCTACCATATGCTATTTTTGTGTTCAATTTCTCGATTTTATATTTTTAACTTTAAAATGCTTTAATTTTTTGAAAAGTGTATGGATCAATACAATTTTTTTATGAAAAATAATATTTATATACTTCTCCATTCGACTTACTTTTTTTTTAAATTGGACTATTTCCCTTAATCCAGAGGGGGTTCAAATCTTTAAAATGCATATAGAAAGTAGAACTTTTTCAACTTAATTTCTGAAAGTGTTCCGGAAATACTGACACTTTTATATATATATCTTAGATTAAAGCTTATGTAATATACTTTATTATGGAAAAAAGAAAATTTGGTCTTTATTTTGTCTTCATGGTGAAAACAGACATCAAAGTTAATAAAAAAATTTTTTTTTATATTCTTAACTTTATAATGCTATAATTTTTTGAAAAATGTATAGAACGTTATATTTTTTTTTGAGATAAGTACTATTTATTTTTATATATTATTAATATATATATATATATTTATTTATTCATATATTACACTTCTAAATCATAAAACTTGTAATCAGAATATAAATAATGAAATACGAGATCATGTAGCTTTTGGAATAATCCATTATTTATTTTAAATTAAACACTATCTACAGATTCGCATCGAAGCGTTTTTTATGATAGTGAATTTAATCACTGTCAGATATCATCTATATTGGACCCAACTATGCCACGACCCAACTGTGGCACCACCCCACTGTGCTGGGTTTTTTTTATTCTTAATATTTGTATTTAAACTACAGAACATTTGATCTCTGCTATACGATAATAAAATTCTTGTTTTTTAGATTAAATGGCTAGTGGAGAACTAGAAGTATTACGATGCGAGTTAAACTTGTGGTCTGGATACTTTTGTGCTCGTTGCCGAGCTGAACTTGGCCGTATTATAAATAGAGGAGCTAATTGTCGTGCTTGCAAAGAACGGATATGTATGTCTTGTAGAGAATATTCTAAAACCACTAATGTACCTGAGTGGTTATGTACTAGATGCCATAAAGAAAAACTAGAGTAATTTTTTTTTTTTCAAAAATCTATAAGCAAAAAAAAAAAATTGATGTAGTATTTACTATTAATCTAATTGGTATTTAGGTCTATAGAGCCAGCAAATGAATGGATTGTGGATTTTTTGACTCCAGTGGACATGAAATACCAAAAGAACGAAACAAAACTTTGTAGATCTCTTACATTTAAAGGCAAGTTATAACTTAAATTTCTGTTTATAACCATTGTGTTTATGATATTTTTTTCTTGAGTACCAATTTTACACATTCTATTCTACTTCTTCAACAAGTCTACCCACTGGTTGTTTCTGACTTAATGGGGTCGCCTACTGCGGTGGACGAACCCTATAATACACCCATAATATGATCAGCTGTCGACATCCTACACTAAATATTTTTTCTTAAGTCAAGTGTTATACATAGTTGTTTCAATGTCTTGTTTTATGCCCACAGATTCATCACCGTGGTCGGCCGTCAGAGGGTCGCCGGAGTTGCGAGCTTACAGCAGCATGCCACGAGGTAGCACTCCGTGGACGCAAAGGAGTGCTTCCCTCGAGACTGCTGCTATAAACTCCTCGTCGAACAAGTTACAATCTAAATCTATTGCTAATGAAGTGCCAATAATAAACCATAAACCTCCTGCTACTACTGTTCATTTGGTGGATACTTGTGGATGTGTTATAGATTTAAAGCAAAGGACTATTACAGATTTACCAGATTTAATGGATACTGAAACAGAAGTATTCGCTAAAAATACAATCAAACCAAGTTCTGGCCAAGAAAGTAAAATTTTTGAAAAACGCTCAAGGCAAGAAACTATTGGTCTAACCAAAATACAAGGAGACCTTAAACAAATTCCACCTGGTAAGATTTATATATTTATTTATTACAATACCAATAATAATAAATTTTTCACGAAGAAAAAAAAGATTAAATTAAAATAAAATTCCACCATGAATAATTGTTTATAACGGTTTTTAGCTACCCATTAAATCATTACGTTTACTGTTTTAATTTGAACTATATATAATTTAAAATGTTCATATATAAATGTCATGCTACTATTTTCTAAATAATAAGGCAGATATATAGGCAACTTAAATTACTTATTTCTTAATGCGTTAGTAGTATTATAAAATGACAAGATCATATTTTAAATAATTTTTTTTATTTGAAACAGCATTAAAATTTTTATTTCATATATTAGATTTAAACAGATTAGGCAATTGAAATACAGTTTACTATACTAAACATTTCAACAAATAATTGTTAAATAGAGTAAAAACCTATAAACTTATTGTAAAACTAATATTCAAAACAGTATTATTTATTTATAATTCTATTTATTTTAAACGACCTCTCTAAAAAATTATGCCAAGAGCTATAAAATTGATATCTATTAATAAATTATTGATTTACGATACATTAGTGAATTTAAAAAATTGAAAATAACTCTTTCATACTTAGTTATGTGATGAAAATACATGTTTTGAATACCACTGGATTTTATTGTGTACAATTTTTTAGGCACTGGGAATGCATCTTAACGTACAAATAAGTAATTGAAGATAACGTTGCTTTCATTTATCTTATGTCATATCGGTACAAGAACACCTGTATAGTCCCGTACGTCGAGGTGGTTAACCTTGTATCAGCCACTTCTTTCGGCAACCTATCATTATAATTGTTATTGTTGTTGGTCGCGGCGTCATCGACAACGATGGTCTATTGCCATTGTTATGCATTCGTTTGTCACACCCAATGTTGCCAAGTCTTTTAACGTACATTACATTACTGTGTGTATAATGTTAACATAATCATATTATTCTTATTTTTTTTTTTGACAATACACTTGTACTATAACGGTCACAATCGTGTAATATTTTTATAAATTACTCTAACGTTCTTATCGAGCATTTACTGTTAACCTATTCGCATTTGTTACATGAAATTACTTAAAAATGTTTTTTCAAAGAAAATTACCTAGAAATATAATTTTTTAAGATATAATTTCTTCTAGTTAAATTATTTAGATTAGAGTTAACTAATCTAAATAAAAAAATATTCTTATTATATTATTCCAAAAATATTATTTTATATTTCAAATTGGTCTTCTAACCAACAGTAAATTTCTATATAAAAAGTATAGAAATCATAATACACAACTTTTTTAAATACAGTTGTGTATACATATTTATTTCATAAATATGAAAACTTTAATTTTCAATTTTTTATTTTCTTCTCAAAAAGTTCATAAAATTATTAATAATATTAGTCTTGGACTGAAGTAAAGATTTAACTCATTAAATATTATATAACTACTATACTTACAAAGATATTGTCACAACGCAGTTATAAAATATTATTTATAAATTTATTCTAGAAACTTAGTTATTGATACATTATTATTTTTGTCGACTAATTTTTAATTTTAAAAGTATTTATATAGCTGAATATTTAACTCTTCTTATTTTTTCTATGTTGTAGGAAAATCAAAATCAAAATTTAGATTTTTGTTTTATAACACTTGTCAGTATTTTGTTTCTTATTGAATTCTAACAGTTAATCTCTGTGTAATATTTTTTTTTACAATTATCTAAAAAAAATAGCTTTAATGGATAGAAGATATAACTAATTTATGTTTTATTTTGCTATATGTTTAAGAACAAACTATTATAAGAGCTGTACGTGTTACAATCATTATCACATGGCTACTTATGAGTAATTTAAATAATTTATATTTGGATCAAAATTTGATTAATTTTGATTTTTAAATAAAATTTTCGAAAATGAAAAAAAAATATTTATTTAATTGACTAGTTTTTAGTGTTCTTATATTCATTTTTTCCTGTTCTTGACTACATTATTGAAAAATATCTGTATTTTCTAAATTGTGGTTAACCGAATTATTAGTTATTAAGTACTCGTAACAGTTTCACGGCCATGCGAGTTATTATCAAAGGTAGTTCAGCTTAACTTCATCGTTGTTAAATATCTGATAGTTAAATGGTATAATTTTTTTTTTATAGCTTATTTTATCATTTTTTTTTTTAATTCTAAAAAAAATAATAATAACTGTTTAATGAAAGTTATTAATAATAATTGTAATTTGTATAAAAATAAAACCACAATATTATAGTTTTGTTCTATTTTTTTTACTAATCACTTAATAGATTTATAGATTAATAGATTTATGAAAAATTTGAAAGTAAAAAATTATAGTATAACTTTAGTTTATAAATTTTCTCTCAAAATGTAGTCTTAGGTAGGTACTTTTCTGATTAATTTAAAAAAACTTATTAACTCATTAAAGAACTTAATCACTTGCATATAATTCAATTGTTTTACCATAAAATTAATTCTTTAAATATTTAATATTGATTTCATAATATTCATTAGAACACTTTATATATCAGATAGAACATATTAAAATATTATTATTTGTATATTAATTTTTTTATAGGTGTAACACCACCTCGAAGTCGAAGATTTTTAAAAAGGAACCCACACTATGAAGAAAATTTGCCAGCTTTATTTAGTTATAATGGTAGCAGTCGCGTAAAAGAAGACTATAAGCTTGTATTTTTAAATGGCCCAGACTGGTCCTCGGATGACGGTGGCGGTGGTCGGCATACATCTTCTAGCCTATCGGCTGATGATGATTGTGACTGGGACTACTTCATGGCCGGCGCGGACGATGATAATAACCATCGGCAACTACAGTCGTCGACAGGTGGCGTAGATCCTGGTAATAGTAGTAGTAACGATATTAGTGACCGTAGTAGTGGCAATGACGGTAAAGACTACAGCAACAACCAGCTAATAACAAATAGTGGTGGTAGTAAGCGGAGTGAATCCGACGCACACACAACGTTCGTTCCGGTCGTGTTGCCGTTCCCCGTGTTTGTGCCCGTACCGATAGTAATACCGCGGGAGCGTGCGCAACACACGCTTACAGCTGCTTTTGCAAACGTATTATCTGAGTACTTTCGAGATCGGGATAGTGGGTGCGTCGAGCACCAAGGTGATTACAATCATTCAAATGTAATAAGTGCTCAAGACGACCACAACCATCGGATGCCGGAACCTACAGTGGCTGACGAACGTGTGCCTCTCGCCATGTACGCGACTCGCACTGCTAACTTAGATGCAAAATCATCGCCAGCGGTAACTTCAGTCGTAATTGATGACATGGACGATGATGGCTCTAACTTTACAGGTGGATACTATTCTACATCTGACGACTCCGAAGACTCAGATACTCATGCCGCTATGTCATATGACGTCAACAATAGCCCGGATGCTAGTCAAGATGAAGACGATGGGTGTAATGTAAAATTATCTAGTATTCTTGACATTACTAATACAGTCAAATCCAACGGTACTACTTCAGATGAATTTTCTGGCACTGAGTCGATGGAACAAATTCCAGTAGATGACACTACTAGTTCTGGAAAATATACTAGTTTAGTAATGATTACGCAAAATGATAAACCATCTGTTAATATTGTAGTAGCAAACGATACAACTAAAATGTCTGACAAAGTTTTTGTTGACAATCTTAATGATGGGTTCAAACTCACATTGGATACTACGGAGTCCTCCAATGATAGCGAAGTTCAAGTAGTAACAGGTGGTGAGACACTTTCAGCAGTAATTGCACTTGAAGAAGGATTAGCGGATGACGATTCTTGGGTAGAAGATTTGGATAGAGATGATTTTAAAAACGAATCTTCGGAAGAAGGAGAAATGTTATTTGAAGAAGAACCTGAGTACAAGAGATCGGAGTTAGACTTCACTCTTCATACAATTGTGGAAGAAAGCTGCGAAGAAAGTGAAGTAGAACCTGAGCGAAATAACCCTACTGAATTAGAAAAATATTTCTTTTTTGGACTTTGTGGTGAAAAAGATCAAGATGCAAGAAATACAGATGCGTATTCTGAAACAAGTTCAGTTATCAGTGAAGGTTTAGAATCTCTTGAAAGTATTGAGCCTCAGCAATTAAATTCTGAGACTGCTGGATCACGACTAGAACGATATTTTCTTAGTGAATTTATGGGTTTTCATCGTCCGGATTCCGATGGTAGTGTAGGAAGTGACAGTCCTGAACATAGTCCCGAACAGAGAAGAAAACGTTTGGTTCGAGCTAGAGGAACGGGACGACAACACTCTTCTCTAGACAATCTTACAGAATCCGAACAACAAGTTGACTTACAATTAGACTATGAAGATTCATCCACTAATTCAGATTCAAATGACGATACTGTTCTATTTGATAAAAATGACGGCCAATTCGACACTGTTAAACGAGGTAAAAAAAAGAAAAGATCTTCTGTTACGATATCTTCATTAGACATTATAGAAGCTGAAGAAAAACTGGATAGTACAATTACTATTGATCATATTAATTTTAATGTACTAGATGAAAATTTACAGGAAATTATTGAAACTGTTGAAGAAAAAAAAATTACAGTAAACACACCTACAGAAACTATACAAAAACCTAGCGGTGTAGATGGTTTAACAAGAACAGATAGTTTTAATAATTGGAGCTCAGACGAGGAAACAAATCTCATGATGTCAAAAATGAGAGCATTCTTCAAAACAATGTTAGCTAATCAACCGGATCCAGAAGTACCTGGCGAAATGAGCAAGCCGCCACAATTAGTAAAATTCGAATCAGAGTTAACTAGATTAATGAAAACGGTACCTGGAATTCGAGATGAACAGGTAAAAGAAATTGTTGAGTACTTAAGCAGTGAAGATACATGGAGTGACTCGTACGATTCTTCGGATTACACTAGCTCCGATTTAGAAACGGGTTCCAGACTTCAAGATGAAAATCGAGATACCGCCTTTGTATATCAAAAGTTAATGGCATCATTACAGCGTATCGATGTACCGAGTTCTGACTCGTCAGCTTCAAGAAGCTCGCCACCCCTAGTTACCAAAGTGATGACTCATATTGGTAGTCGACTAGTAGCTCTTATGCATGCTGTGTCTGAGAACCCAGGTACACCTCGTGCATCTAAACACCACAGACGACCTCATCATGCCTATAAATCATCTATTATATCAACCACAACGGAAGAAGAAGACGAAGGAGAAGAAGAGTTTAATCCTCCATTACCCAGATCTAAGTCACACGATCCACTTCTTGAAGAAGCCCGACAAGAAGCAAGCGATAACGAACGTTTTAGTTGGAGAGGTAGTTTTGAATCAACGTTAATGATGTCCGACTCAAGAACACGCTTAACATCGAGTGGTGAAAGTTGTGTGACACTTGCAGCAAAAAGACGATCCGCAGGTGATCTATTAATTAAGAGTGCCAACAGTAGTCGAGAACAATTAGATCGCGTGCGATCATGTGGTAGTATTGGTGGTAGCATCGAGGATCGTATCTGGAGAAATGGTCGGCGACGAGACAGTGTTCCAGATAGCGGAGATTCTGCAGCCGAGAGCGATGATGGTGCTACCAATATGCAGTCAAATAATCACAATAAATCGACGACATTACCTAGAAGCTTACAACAGCATCAATCGGTTTCATCTTCTAGCACCAACTCGTTACCTAGACTTCCTACTACGCCAGTACCGGCACCAAGCCCATTGATAGGCATTTATAAAGCACATAGTGTACATCAATTTAATGTTAAGTCAGCACGGTATAGACCTCCTGGATACAAAAATATAACTCCTCCTCGCAGAGAGTATAACCGTAGAAGACAGCATGTTGCACTTCAGGCTGGTCAATCACCACCGCCTACTGTGTATAGTACTAATTTTCCATCGTCACCTTCGATCGGTAAGTTTATTTTGTTACATTTATTATTTTTTTATTACATAGTTTTAAATGTCAAATTTGTGATATAAATTTGAAATAATATTTCTGATTTGATAATATCAAATACTATAAGACAATGCTTTTACAACAATTTAATTAAAGAAATATATGTGTATTAACTTGTACATTGGTTACAAGACCTAAAAAATGATTTACCGTTTGACTAACACATTAAACTAATACCACAATAAAACACATTTTTTTTTTTTTTTTGATAGAGTAAGCGCAGATTACAATTAAGTATTTTGCAAAAAAAAATTATGTCTATCCCATAGAATTATGGATTTCATTAATTTTTTTCTATTATATTTTGATATAAATACGAGGTTTTTCACAAATCTGTTGATTAATGCGTTTGATTTAATCTCATATTAATTATGTCAATTATTGTGAGCTTCATTGTAATTTAATATTTTTTTCAACTAATTTTTTCATTCAAAATCAATTCCATTCGATTCTTGGTTTTTAATATCAAGTGTCGAGTAAATTGTATTGTTGATGTTTGACTATAATATAATGTTAGCTTGTAACTAACTGTAATTTAACGTCATTAGTGAAATACATTTATAATACTTAATTTGTATTACATTCACTTTAAGCGAAGACTTTTATTCTTATCACATATATAATTCTATTAATTTTTCAAAATGCATTGTAACATTATAAACTAACCGTATTTTCATTTTTTTTTTTACCATAAAATTAATAAAACTTTAATAAAATAATATTTTGTGCTAAAAAGAAGTACTATTAAAAAATCGTAAAAATTATAAATAATTTGATGAAGTAAAATGATAAAATGTTCAATAAACTTTTAATATTAATTAAACCTAAGTAATCTTTGCACATTTTTTACTAAAAAAATTAATTTATTATCACTTTTTGTTTACAATGTTAATGATTTAAAATAATTTGTCTGTTTTCTTTTTTTCAAAAATTTATTTTCTAAAAGTAACCTTTAATCATCGTCAATTAATATCCATTCAAAACATATTAAATTATTTTAATGCCCAATTTTAACCTAAAATGTATACTTCAAGTTGTATAAGTCTGTTTGATGATTGAAATATTATCAAATTATTTTTGTAAGTGATAACTTTCTGATTTTAATTACACCAAAAATTAATCTAGAGTTAATCTATGAAATTATATAGTGAAATATTTCTTTAAACTTTCTTATCGAATACTAGTCTGTATATACTATTTATAAATGAAATCAAGTATATAAAAGAAGCGTAGTTAATTGAGAAATTATAATTACTAAAATATTTAGTTTATATTTTTCTTTTAAACTGGATTAATATTAACTATTATGATCTGTGAAAATATTATTTTCGTTATATTTTCAAGTCATTATCATTGTTTTACCAGGTGCTTTTTTTGTTTTGTTTAATGATAGATCGACAATTTATATATATATATATGTGTGTGTGTGTGTGTGTGTGTGTGTGTGTGTGTGTGTGTGTGTGTGTGTGTGTGTGTATTTACCATTGACGAGTAAACAGTTGTAAGAGTATGACGCTTATTTGTGTTTGCCAGGTGCAAATTTAAGCACAACCCTCCCAGCACATTATATATATTCATTTATCTTTATTAATTTTGTTATTATTTCTCATACAATGTCTCCCCCCTTTAACATTTATAACCTCATTTTTAATTAACTTTAGTCAAAACTTATTTGATTGATTATTATATAATAATGATTACCATCATTATTGATGATATATCTTGTACAAGAATTTTATAGTATTTTTGAAAAGAAATACCTTTAACCTATGATATACAATTAGTAAAATTTTTGATTCAAATAATATGTTCAAACAAATCAGTATCTACTTTCATGCTTTTTGACTGCCGCCATTAATTTTATGAAGTACAACGCACTATCAATTAAATACCATCAAGAATAAATTTGTGTTTCTTTTATTATTTAGTGAAAATTAAAAAGAGCCATTAGTACCAATTTTAATAAACATTGTTAAAAACCGATTGTATGAATAATGATTTTTATGCTCAAGTAAAAATAGTCCTGTTTAAATAAAATAAAATATATTTATGCGTAATATCGTATAATTTAAAAACGAATTGACATTTTTTACTAACCACTATTTGTATTTATTTCGAATATTATGCTCTTATTCATCAATGTTTCTAAGAAGTACAGTATGTTAATTATTACGACCTCCTGGATTTTATTAATATATAGCTTTATTTTGAGAAAATTATATTTATTTATCATAAGTGATTTTAATCTATTTAATAAAAATAGTTACAGAATAATAGTTAACATTAACCAATTTAAGTACGTTAAATCTACATTTTTTTAAAAATTCTTAAAAATTATACTAAGTTAATATAATAGGGTAATCTAATTTTTTACAAACTTTCGTGTGTACAAAACAAGTAGTCTTTCTTATGGTTTACACTAATTGTTGACACATTTGAAAACACATAATTAATTTTAAATGCCAAATTTTGTTACAGAAGTCTATTGTATTTATTCTCTGGTTTTCAATTGCGTTAATTTTAGGAAATTTTTTCTTTTTTATACAATTTTTTAAACGTATATTTATGTTTGAACGGAATAATACGCTGGTAGTTTTCTCGTTTAGTATTTATGAGTTTGTTAAAAACATAACATATACTTTCTGGTTTATAGGCTTATATGGTCAGTGGACGTTACTTGAAAACATTTCACTGGAACGTGTTCTTTTAATTATTTAAGGCGGAAATCTTTATACTTATCTACATATATAATGAATTCGTATTGCCAGTCTAGTTAGGAACCACTGTTTTTTTTTATTTTAGCCTAGTGAACACACTTTAAACACACTTTCGTTTTGAATTTTATCAATAAGGTTATTATATTTATATAGATTTAAAGAAGTATATTAAAATAATAATTATAATTATTTTTCTTTTATCTAAAGTTTATAAAAATTATTTTTAAACTTCACGTATGCAATCGGATTCTTTCTTTATACGATGTCAAATTTGACAATAACAGTAGTGTGTACGTTTCGCTACCTTGAACAAACAAAAGAAATAGACGATGAGATATTGGTGAGTACCTAAAAGAAAATTGAGGTTATAAAAAAAATGATGATAATGTGATGAATAAAATCAAGGTTTTATTCATAAACTTGTCTAAATTGAATATTTGAAAATAATCTAAGTAGTATTTTTGTATAGAATCAAAACATTTGTGTATTTTAATTATAACTTTACTGAGTAAATCTATATTTTTTAAATTAATTTTTAATAAACAATATTATTACGTGCAAAACGTATTATCTATAGCTCCAGAAATATTATTTATCTGCTTTTATCATATTTTCTGTAAAATATTTAAGTTTTACCAACTTATCTGACACTTCTCAATTATTACTTCTTCTGAGATATTATTGTTTTATATTTTGTTTGACTGTTTCTATCTATATTTAAATATTTTTACGTTTTATATAATTTTGACTTATTTTTGTCGATGTATTTCTTTGTATTACAAAAACATTTAGTACAAAAAACTGTATTCGTCTAATAAAATACTGTAATAGTATTAAGTTATAATCATAAATTCATAGGTTATAATGTTAAATCTAAAACGAAAATATGTAAGTCGAGAAAAGTTTAACTGGAATAGCTAGAACCTCACATGCTTTATGAGTATTTGTCTAAAAATTAAATCATTTTGGACAGAATACATTAAAATTGGATATAATAATTGACATCTAAGTGATAAACGTAGTTTTGTAGTGTTCATATATGACAATTATCAACACGTATTAGTGTTAATAATAATACAATAAATTAATACGTTTAAGTCATAACGATTCTTCATGTTCTATTTTTAATACTCTTTATGCGTTTAACATTTCTTTGTCGTCCAACCATATAATACTATAAGAAAATATATTTTTTTTCCGAAACCGAAGGAGTTGGTGTGTCAAGTACTAGAAAAAATATAATTTTTTCTGTACGTTCACTGAGATCGGAATGTACCATCGAGCAAATCTTAACATATATAAGATATCCTACGCGGACTATTCGGACGTGGTGTAAAATTCTATATCATATTTCAACTGCTATTGCATTTTTATTTTATTAATTTAAATAAATGCCTAAACATCGAAATTTTAATTATTCTTAGATTCAAATTTATTTGAGTGAAAAAATTGGTTAGAACTTATTCATGTCATAGAATTTTAATATGTTTCGAACGATCCATAGTATTCATCATATACGTTGTTGCGTAATTCAATTAAAGACCTTTCCTATTCAATACACAACCGATTTCTATAGAATTTACAAAGTTAATAAAATAAAATAAAAGTCATTAACAGATTGAAATTAATAAAGACGAAACTATATAGTCAAATAGAATCTAGACTATACAGAGTATTTAATATCTAACTAACAACGTTTATAATTTTTAATACAATTATAATTAAATTAAATTTTTTTTTTTTTTTTTGATAATTATTGCCTTCTTAGACTTTATTCAAAATGTCTTTTTGATTATTTATGACTAAATAAAAAAAATTATTATGTTCAATTTTTTCAAAATTTTGAAACAACAATTATTATTATTATAATTATACATAGATTTTAGAGTTCGAAAAGAAATCGTAATATGTTATCTACATTATGTTTTACCTCTTTTAAACATAAAATCTCAGTTAAAAGTGACATTTATTATTTAGAATTCATATGCAATTTTGAAATTTATAATACCGTCTATAATTATATTTTTGTTTGTGCCTTTAAAAGAGGAATATTATTGTTTAATGCAACACAGTATTAGCCTATGATAAAAATCATTTTTTTTTTTACTTACAAATAAAATACAGCAAGGTTGACATTACAATAATGTACTCTTTAATCGCCTATAAGCCCTTGAGTTCGTATGTGTTTATGTAGGCGCTAATATTTTTCTCAATTCAGCTTAAACTAAATTAAAAGACATTAAAGTACACTCAATAGTATTATGTAACTTACAAAAGACCATTTTTACCTTTTATTTTAACATTTAATTTTCATAAATCATCACTTTTGTTGTATAATACTAAAAAGAATACAAAAATATGTGCATTACATTTGTACCGTCTTTAAAACTAGGTTAATGCCAATTATACTGTAATTTTGTAGTCATCACATCATACACCTCGCTGGGTGTTTTGTTACATGTGTAGCTAAATGTTGTGATCTAACTACTGATATTATATGTATAACTTAATTGCAAAATTCAACGAAATAAAAAAAAAAATTTATCTAAATGTACGGTTTTAAATATTTTTACTGTTTTAAAGCAAAAAAAAATGTCTTACCAAGTTTGGAATAGTTCAAGTTAAATATTGCTGGACAGTTGAAAAATGTAATTTTAAAAAAAAAATTTTATTGAAATTTTTTTAATTTAACTAATGTTAATTAAAAATATTAGCTACATATTTTTAATTTTGTCATGATATTTTGTACTTTATTAACACTATATATTTTTGCCAAAGAAGTTATTTCGTGAAACTAATGAATTATAATATTTTTAACAGGTACAAATATAAATATTTTCTTAGGAATTTCGATCCTAAACTAAATCTAAGTTATTTTATTCGAAGAGTGTACAATTCTAAATGGCATAGTGTTTTTATTACATAATAAACATAATTTGTAGGTTGTAAACCTACAGACCTACACTTCCACACTAATTTATCTATGGTCAATCCTACGTATATACAATTCGGATGTTTTGAATACTTCTTGTATTATTAACATACTAAATAAATGCTTTATTCATTCAATAATTTATATCTTTTTAGGTTACAAATATGATTAAACGTCAATAGCTTTAATGACAAAAGTACAAATTATTTTTACTAATCAAAAACATTTTACGAGTTAGTTAACATAATAATTAATTGAAAATAATGATAAATAATGATAAATAATAGTGTAGCACTAAATTTTATTAATGCTAATAGCTTTTTTCTGGTTTTTGAATTCAAAAATTTATGAGAAATTTGTTAACTAAGAGTAACCTGTTTTACTATTAAGCTGTTTATTACTTGAAATACTTAATATTATAAATTATCTATTCACTTGTGTAATGGAGTAGGATAGTATCTTTAATACTCTTAACTACAACATAATTGTAACCAAGAATTAAACGCCTGTACACAATTTAAGTATGTTGATAAAGCTTACTACTAATTATTCTCAAGTGACGTTGATTAATTAATAGTGTTCTGTAAAAATATCTTTTTTATGGCTTTAATAATTTGAATACAGTTAATTAAGTAGTGTCTGATTACATCTACTATATTCTTAAAAAAAATATTACTTCTCACTAAATAATAAACTAATTATAGTTGTAAATATTTTTTTATATTATGAAAAATTATTTATAGTTATTTATTTCTATACCTAATAATTTAGTACAAAATTTCATTTTAGTATCTATGTTATATTTTCCCTGAAGTTGGCCTACCGTTGAATCGATCGTATGTTTTTATATGATTTCATTTGTTTGCTTATGTGTTTATAAACATAAATGCTTTAAATTATGATAAGTTAATTTAAAGCGGTGTATATTTCATGAATACTGTGCAAATTATTAATGTTTTTTAAAAGTTGAGATTTTGCTATAGTTTTGCTTTGCACATTCTTTATAGAGAAATAACGACGCCTGCTCTTCGACATTAGACAAGCGCTTATTTAAATCTTCAGGTATTTCTATTGTTTCCGAAACATTATATTATGCTACGTTGTTATTCGTATCGCTTCTGGAAGTCCTTATTTTTCATGCCAACTGAACTGTAACTGACACGACGAACAATAAAAAACGAATAAAAATAACTAAATAAAGTTTAGTTTTAATGGCAAAATTAAAATTTTAAAAAATCTACCTAACAAGCAATCACGTTTGTAAGGTATAAGAAGATAGAAAATTATTTTAATTTATATTATAACTATAGTATAGAATTTTTTTGGACTCTACTTTATTAAAATCTTATTCAAGGTATGTCTTAAGTATAAAAAAAATGCTACTAGATAAAGCACAAAGGTTGACAATTGTAATGTTATTCATAGTAATCTATTGATGTGTCTATAGTCAGCTTCTATTTCTGTTGGCTATCTAGTGAAAGCTTCAGTGCGGACAAGCAAAATTTTCAGTTTCACTATGACCAAATGCTGAGGCCGTCGACCTTGTAACCCACATCAACGTGGATCGACGACACAAGATATATTTGTGATTGGCTATATGCTAACCACAAGTCTTCTATGCAAAATTGAAAATTTCTTAAACCATGCCCCTGATATTTTACATTTAACGTGTAATTAAATTTGATCACTTATGGTTAATATTGTTTAAAATTAAAATTTAATTAAAAATATTATTTCAAAATTAAAAAATATTTAACTCAAAAAGCTACAAAAAAATAAAAAATACTTAAAAATCGCGGATAGGTATTTCAAGAACAATGTTACTAATATTTATATATTTATTTTTAATATAGTTTTAATTTCAAATAATATTAGCCAAAAGTGATCAATTTTTACTATATGATAATAGCATTTGGGTCTTTAATCATAATAAAGAATGGTAACATTGTCACTTTGACTTCATCAGTGAATGAACAGTTATGAGTTTTTCATTATTAAAATTCTTTATAAATTTATATGTTGATGTACTTATAAAGTTAATAAATATTTATAATTTGAAAAATTCTCTATAGTAATAATATATAATTATTTATAATTAATTAATACAACAATTTTAAATTTATTATTTTATGATAAAAATTGATGTTTTCCAGTGAATGAAAAGTTAATGGCATTGTATCAATAATTGTGATATTGTAGCAAGACTTAATTTAAATATTTTCTTTGTCATAAAAACTACTAAATATAACTTATTATAATCAGATTAGGCAAGAAATCAGTGGTGTTCGTTTATTGTTAGTGTTCATTTACTAGTAATGTTACTCTAAATTATTTTTCATTTAAATTACTTCTTAGCAAAAATTACTCTGAAAAATAGACAATATAAGCATCTGGTCTCTGTTTCTTAAGTCCAAACTAATGGTCGTGGTCAATACTCAGTGTAATTTGTTAAAAGCTTAAACTTATCAATATCAAAATTATAACCAATTCTATTATATGACTTATTATTTTCTGCAACAGTTCAATATACATTTATGTTGACTTAATACTTATTTCGATGATACATCCTGGTTTTTTTAGATTCAGTATGTCTTATATAAGCCATTTTTAACTAGTGAGTAAATATTAATTGTCATATTTCTGTGATGTCGTGTGAATCATCTTGTAAAATATCCGTTTCATTATTACAAGTAGTGGTTTGGCGTCCTCTAAAAGTAATTTTCTCTATGCTCTACAAGTGCTGTGTTTAGAAATAATTTTCCCTGTTTTTATCTCTATTATATTCGTGTAGAATAATATACAATAATTAAAAATAAAACTACAAGCAAAAATACGTATTATACAGTTGAGAATACGATAATTTGATTAAAATTATGTATTTATTAGTACAGATAATTTTAGTCGTTTCATTCGATCGATAGAGCTCGTAACGTTATGAAAATGTATTGGCGCGCAAACAACTTTTACTAGTTGGGTCGTGCAATCAAATGTGTTTGTGAAGTTCATGTTCCGTCTTAGTATTAGTACTTTAATGTTATTCTTTCACTTTTTTTGCTTATATTAACTATAATAATATTGTAACGGTATTGCTGCTATCAATAGTATGTATTATGAACGAGCAAATAATTAATAATTGTAAACACTATATTCATACAATGAGTACGTTTTAAATTCAATTGACTTCCGGTGCTTTTCTCTATCCGGCATTCACTTTAGTGTTTATAATAATTATAATAACGCTGTATGTTTTTACACTATGAAATATAGACAATGGATATATGGAAATCGATTATGGTAAATTGGTAATTGGTCATTCATGCAGCAAATAATTAGTTTTCTATACGAATGCTCACGTTGTGCCACATATTATCCATTAGATAATCTTTACTACAAAAAATTTTTTAACGACTGTTGAAGTGATTATTTAAAATCGAGTCATGTTTTTTAGTAGTAACCTTTTCGTATTTTTTTGAACAAGGATAAATCAAATAAACTTACAATAGCGACTCCGAAGGAACTTTATTCCTTTCAATATTTCAATTTAAATCAATACTTATCTTCTTTAACGGAACGATAGATACGATTACTCTTTCAGGACTAGCGTTATTCATATTGTATATAGCCAATATTTATGAAATACATCTCTAACGATCTCTCTAGTAAGCCTACCATATTAAAAAAATTCAGCCTTAAAATTTTAGGGGCGATTTTTAGAATTTCTCGATAGTAAATGACCTCATTTTAAAACCTGAAACCTTTTAAAATAACAGCAAAGATATCTTAAAACTAAAGTACGGCTTCAGTTAACAAATTAATCAATTCATAAATTTTATAAATAAACTACAGTACTTATATACAAAATTCACGATTGGCTACAGCTATAATTATTGTATGTAGAGTACGTCAATTAATAAAAAGTCCTGCTAGTAGGGTTGCATTTAAAGGTTTAAGCAGTATAGAGTCAATAAATTTGGGGTTCTATACATTTATGGCAGAACTGAAGACATTTTTTTTACTTAATACGTAAAAATCACGAAAAAAAATGTTTGTGGTGTTAAAATTAGTATTAATCGATTCTGAAAAAATGCTTTTTAGGCCACATTTAAAATGAAAGTATTTTTATGATTACTAAAAGTTTTTATTGTTTTTCTTTTTAGAAACATCCGAAAATGATAGTTCATTGTGCGGTATCACTAGCAGTATAATTACCAGTCCGGGAATTCCGGTAGATATTTCCACATGTTCTTCAAAATCTGAAGATGAAATTGAAAAATCACAAAACAGAAGTAGCTCCTCAACATTTGGCGGCGTTGTAAGTGAATATAATTTTATTTTATTGCTACTTGTGTACTGTATTACAAAGTGATTTATTATAAATGAAGCTAATAATAATAAATATAAGCTTTAGAATTTTAATTTTAATTTATGGATGTTTAGGTCTTATGGATAGTTAATAACTTGTTTTGTTAAGAATCATTAGTTTTTTTATAGAATATGAACTGAACATTATTTTCATAATTTTTCAGGCATAACTCCTTTTATTTCTTTTTTTGGCAAATTTAGTATGTTTTTTTTTTATTAATCTAGTTCTTTTCAACCCTACTTACAAAAAAAAAATTCTATTCAAGTTTTTCTATTTTGAGTTTGATTTTTGAATTCATCTCTACGAGTTGACTTCAGTCAAACAGTTTTTAATATTTCTATTAATGACTGATAGATTATGATGGTGTATAGCACGATTTTTCAATTTTACATTCTTAAACATTTTTTTCATAAATTCGTTTAAGACAGATTATTTATTTATAAAATACTTTTTTATTTACAGTCAAGAAGCGATTCTATGGCATCTGTGTATTCGGGGGCCGGAGAAGGGAGGTATGGAACAATCGCTGTTAGAGGTGAAGTAGAGTTTGGCCTCCAATATAATTACAAGTCTGCTCAATTTGAGATCAACATCAAACATTGTCGTGATCTTGCGGCTGCTGATCCTAAAAGAAACAGATCTGACCCGTAAGTATTTTGAAACTTAAACAACTTAAAAAATGATCATAAAATCTAAAAAATATTTAAATATTCAATAGATTTAAAAGGAATAAAATTATTATTTTTATTTGTTCTTTATGTCATTTTAGTTTTTAAATGTTTGCCATGTTAAAAATTAAGTTGTTTATTTTTAGCTATGTTAAAGTTTATTTACTCCCCGATAAGTCAAAAGCTGGTAAAAGAAAAACTCGAGTTAAAAAACACACTATGAATCCAATTTTTGATGAAGTTCTCAAGTATAATTTATCATTAGAAGAGTTAAATAATCGCACACTCTGGCTAAGCGTATGGCACTCTGATATATTTGGGCGTAATAATTTTCTTGGCGAAATTCGCATTCCATTAGAAAACAAAATATTTGATGATCCCACTCCAAGATTGTTCCCACTTCAAGAACGGGTAATATTATAAACATTACATTGTTATTATGATTAATCAAAATATATTACATTTTTGTTATAAAAATTATCAAACTAAATTTTTAATAATAATTTCTTGTTTATATATAAAAAATATCATTATATATAAATCAAGGAAATTAATTTAATTAACGTTTTTTAATAAATAAAATAAAGAAGTGCAATAACATACAATACATTAATTGCAGACTGAACCTTTGGAAGACTTTTTTGTCAGTAACAAAGGTGAAATAGTTGTCGGTTTGAAGTGTATACCACCAGATTCTAATTCTAAAAAACGTACAAAAGGAACTTTTCTTTTATTAATAAAAGATGCTAAAAATCTGCAAGCTGTAAAATCAAGTGGAACATCAGATCCATTTTGCAAAAGGTATTTTACTAACTATCGATTTATTTAAAAGTTTTTGTAGTATTTTGATAAAAAAAAATAAGTGATAGATAATTTTTTTTTGATTTGCATTAAAATCAAAATTTTAAATTCAATATAAATTCCATTTTAATACTTAGAATTATTAATTAGTTAGTTAAAAAAAAACTAATTTATTTACCAGTCTCGATATCTATTAATGCAATAATTTCAATTTATAAACGGATATTTGTTATTTTTTCATCTTATTTTCTTTTGCTATATATAGGTACATTTTTTTTAAAGTAACTTTTGAATATTTTCAGTCATTTATTACCTGATAAAGGGCGAAATTCAAAACAAAAGACTAACGTTGCTCGTAAAACGTGTAATCCAAGCTGGAATCAAACAATTACGTACCGAGATGTTTCACCAGAAGAGTTGGCTGAGAGAAGTCTTGAATTAACTGTATGGGATCATGACAGACTTGGAAGTAATGAGTTTATTGGTGGCGTCCGACTCTCATTGGGTTCAGGTAAGATTTTATTAATATATAAAACAAAACATATTTTATTTGATGGTTTGCATTTTTTAGGTATTTACGATAGAAAATCAATGGAAATTGATTCCAATGAAAAAGAAGTTGCATTATGGCAACGTATGTTAGATAGACCTAATTTCTGGGTCGAAGGATGCCTCACTTTACGACCATTATTAGAAATTACGAGCAAAAATTAAAATTAAAAATAAATCAAGATATTGTGTTCTTTGAATATGTTGTTTATAATTTTTTACTTTGTGATATATTTATATGTAAAATGTATTGAGTATATATACATATTTATTTTTATAATTTGAAGAGTATCTGTGATCTGTAATTTTGATCGGGTTAAGCAAATGAAGACAGTTAAATAGTTTTCTATTTGTGTAAGATTATTTGTCATATATCTTGTGTATCTTTTTTGTATACTTGCGTGTATTTTGTTATTTATTTATTTTGATAAATTTGAAATATTTTTATCATAGAACTGATATTTATTATTCAAATATTGTATGTTCATCCTTTTTCATTTTATAATTTTTGGCATGATGCGGAGAGTACAAAAATTGGATGAATCAGATAGAGCTAACAACAGGTTATCTGGAATACTCAAATTATATAATATAGTGAATCACGTAAGTATCGCATAGAAAATTGACCAAAAAAAAATTAAAAATATTGTAGTGACTCAAAAAGATTACCACTTGTAGTAACTCAAAAGGAGAAAATTAAATAAATAAATATGAAGGAGTGTTGAGTGCTTGTTTAAGCTACTACTTTATTGTATTAATAATATTAAGACTCGAGGTATGAGTACGAGGGTCTGCAAGAAATATAGAAGATGATAGAAAAATAAAGTGATCTTTATTCTATAAATATGGGATTTATTGTAATTAATTGTCAATTCATTAATATCAATAATGCCACGAGTTTTGACAGTTATCAATGATAGGTGGGATCGAGTCACCTCGTGTGTCTACCCAGAGTGGTATGGTGGCTATACATATGAACCTCCTATCTAACTTCTGAAATAGACACGTATCAAAGATATAACTCTGTACAAACATTATCGATTTATTAAATTTACTTCGTGTATTTCTTATTATTGATGATCACTTGATTTTCCTGTATGCCTACTTAATCTATGTACTCATGAAATTTAATTCTAAAGCTTATATAATTTTGGTGAAATTATTAGTTTCCTACCATGATATTTCTAATGACATGCTGAAATTAATAAATATTGTGTTCTTGTACAAATATATTTGTAGAGACGACGGATCACTTCTTGCATACATTTCGTTATTAAGGTGTGGAGGAATGATTGAGCGTAATTCAACGTACTGGGTGGCTCTGTGAATATCTGACCGCATCTGAACAAGTGAGAGCATTCTGACCACCACCAGAGTGACATCTGAGCCAGAATGCTCATTATTTTTGGGCTTTTTATATTAATTTTGATGGTTTTTCAAAGGCAAGAAGAGATCACTGACGCTACCATTATTTCTTTTTAATCTTAATTTATTACATGTTATTTATTACATTTTTATCAATAATGATTTACATTTCATAATGTTTTAACGTTTGTTTTACAAAATCTACATTATTTATTACCTTATATCTAACATATTACTATTACATATTGTTCAATATTTCCTGTTTGTTTTATAAAATTAATATATGCTTTTTTCTACGAAATTTGATTAGTATATTTAAACATTTAAAAGGTATATATTCATCTTATTTTTATTGGTATACATATCATTTTGTGTGATTGATTAATTGAAGTCTTAAATAATATATTATGACATTAGTGATATGCTGTGTATATAATGACAAAATGTCGAAATTGGTCGATTTTAAAAATTGTAATTTTTGAGGATATTTTCACCATTTACGGTGAATGAGAGCAAAATTTTCAATTATTGAGGGAAGTTATGATAGTTTTATGAAAAAAGAAGTGATAATAATGTCGAAAATTATTGATTTTTATTGTCTTCAACTAGATACGATTTTTGATCTTTTAAAGTATTCTTAAGAAAAATCGGTCTAGTGAGAGCTGAGAAAAAGTAGTGAAAAAAAAAAAAAAAAAAAAAATTAAATACATCATGATAAAATTAATACCTTCTCAGCTTCGTATTGAAGCTAAAAAAGAAATAACATTAACTCTTAAAAAAGTAATTTATCCACACTTAATTATTAATATGGTATTTTTTTAGTTTTTTTTTATCAAACAAATTTAGTATAAGAAAAAGAAAATTCAAAACTGTAATTGACTTCAACATATGAATGTTTTTGAATAATAACTGAAAAATTTTGTACGAATGAATTTTTTGGTGTAGTCGTCAAAGTATAACTTATGAAAGGAATCATATATGATTTAACTCAAAATTTTGAATCATGGTTATCCTTTTAACTAAATTAAATAAATAAATAAATTTAATCAATATTTATCTTTGCTCAAGTACCCTACTAATGCTATTATTTTTTATATTTTAATTCATCATAAATTGGTTTTGAAATTAATTTCAAAGACAAAAATTAAAAATTGTGATAATTTAAAAGTATTTAAAATACTTGATACATAAGTAATAAATAATATGAATATTATTGTGTATTGATTTTAAGAGTACAAGAATTTTTTGTAAACATATGGTTATAAAAGATCCTGTTTTTAATATTTTAAAACATTAAAACGTTTTTAAATATGACTTATTTTTTTTTTTTAAATGCTCCTTTATTCTATGACAAAATGAAGTAGATCTTATCAATTCTGTGATAAAAATATTTGAAATAGATTATAGTAATCATATATCATATATTACCTTCTATAAGGCCTCATCTGTTACTAAATTCATTACTAAAGAGTAACAATAAGTATAAATATACACGTGCGAGTACGCCAATTTTAGTATTGATAAGAAATGCAAATATCGATTATTTCACTGTCATTTTTAAATGTCAAAACTAGTGATGAGCATTTTAGAATATTTAGCCTATCGAATAATATTTTATAATAAACTATTGATTAACTGTTATTCTATTAAGAAATATTTTTATACAACCGATTATCACTATCAAATAGTTTGAATAACATCCGAATATAACTATCGAATAGTTTTAGAAACTATTGGAATATATTAGTAACCATCGTTTAGTTCAATAGTTACTATTCGATATTTCCCATCATTAATCAAAACACAAGTTATTATTATTATAAGATATGTTTTTAAATTGTCTCTCTTTAATATTCTAAAAGGACTACTTATTATCTATAAATTCATAAGAAATCCATAATTCATAAATCATTATTACAAACGTTTTTGTTAATGATAAATATTAATCTAGTAATACTATATCATTAGTGTATCAATAATTTACTGAATGATAATGTATAAATAATAAACAATAAATAATATAACTAGTTGATAATGAAATGTACCAAATGAATTAATAATTTTATATCTGTCCTAAATCCACAGTTGTTTTCTATTGTTACGTCACTTAGGTACGTCATTTAAGTTGCCACGGCACTATGAAAGATTAAGTGACAGAATAAGCTAGAAAGGTAAAGATACAGAGGCTGTTATATTAGATGTCACGCGTAAGTTTTTAAGTCTGAACACTGTTGCAATAAAACTAATAAATAATAAGTAAATTAATTAAATTTAATAATTCTATAAATAGAGACTAAAAATTGTAATTTTTGTGGAGATTTCCACCATTTATGTGAAATTTTACTAATCAGACATTACATTTGATTTAATTTGTCTTTAATTTAAACTCAGTATTTAAAAGAATTAAAAAAAAAGACAAAAAATAAAACAATTGAAGAACTTTGTATGTATTTAATAAAATATGACTATTTATAGTGAAGTTGTTACATCTTGTATTATATTTTGTAGTTTACGAGTAAGGTTAGGAGAGTAGCATCGATCAAACTATCATTTTCTGTAATTAAATAAATAAGAAATTCAAAATTTCATTATCAAGTATAGGTATTTTAATTATAGCAAAAGCTCGAATAGAAGAATTAGATTTAGAAGAAATCATTGTAGAACTCCCACCCAAATCAAGGTTAAAAAAATTAACTTTTAAGTAGTTTTAAATTACTTTAATTTTTATTATTAACTATTATTACTATTCAAAAATGTATTAGTCAATGATTTGACAATAACTTGCATCTGAAATTTTTTTAAAAAATAGAATTTTTGTATAATTTAATTCGCGTTTCCCAGAAAAATATAATTTTATAAAGGTTATTTTTACGTATTTTGATTTATTTTCCTCTAAAATACTAATTTAATAATTATATGTTGAAAATTTAGAAATTATTCACTTTAAAGAAGGGAGTTTTATTATTCATTTTGCATCTTGGTCCTAAAAACTAGTTGCTTCATTGAACAAACCGATATTATATGTTTTTCGCTCTTAAATACTAATGAATTAATTAATAAAATTATGACAAACATATATGATTATTTTTTTCTTTTACCTTATTGATAAGGAAAGATGACAATTTTCAGAAAAACTAATTTTAGTAGATATAAGAGACTATTGAACAAATGTTTAATATTAGTGTTTTTAAGGATTTAAAAAAAAAATTTTAATCATCCATACAAATAACAGGTATACGTTTTAAGAAAAATATTGATAAGACATTTTTTGGTGGGCTTTAATATTTTTGACATAGACATTTGCATGAGTTTTAATTTAAGCAGCATATATTGGCGCCGCCCTGAAGCAATGCCTCACGACAGTTCCAGGGCGGTCCACATCAAGTCGAGAAGACGAGGAAAAAAAAAAAAGCATATATTGGCAACACTGCTGATAATGATCATGGCAACATGCGGCCTCGAATAAGCTGCTTTTGTGTTCCCTGTCGTCGTGTTCCCAGCTGATTGCACTTGTTATCGCAGACCATACCGATCCTGATTGACGGTCTGAGAAGGGGTTGTCTGTACAATAGTATCATTATTATCTCTGTCTTGCTATTATCGTTTTGCAATTATTTACTATTTTCCAATAATTACTAAATATTATTCGTTCCGCTAATTACTGTTTATATATATTCTGTTTACTAACTGCAGATAGTTAATACCGTAAAAATCGGCATTTAAATTTAAAAAAAATGTCACAAATCTAATTTCTGTTAAGTCATCACCTCAAATTTGACCAGAGGTATGTCTTTAGATACTAAAAGTTCATCACCTACTCCTTTGGATAATGAAGACATGAAAGGTTGGCTATTTAAATGGACCAATTATATAAAAGGTTACCAAAAAAGATGGTTTGTTTTATCAAATGGTATGTTGTCATATTACAGGTAAGCAATAACTGTCTATTATAATAAAAATATATTATTATTTATTTACCATAGCAACAACATTTATAAATCTTTTACCTAATGCCTAGTAAATATTTTATATTATAATGGTTCTAAGTAATGTTAGAAAGTTTCTAGTCTGTATCTGACATTTAAAAATCTTCAACAGACCAGCTAATCAAAACTAAAGAATTTTCTAGCTAAAGAAAATTTACCTATACTATATAAGTAGTAAATAAAATAATTCATCATATTATTATTGAGTAATATTCCTCTTTAAAAAATGTTTACTTCTATGCATAAAATGTTTTCCTATGCACGCTTATTTTCTGATAAATGTACAATTGATTATGTTAATGCTTTGTCTGCAGTATTTACTTCATTGATGATTTAATATTGAAGTTGGTCTATAACATAATAAAGGTTTTTTTTATTTCACTAAAAATTATAATAAGAAAATTATACATATTACATTAAAGAAGCTAAATCTTTTAATATTAAATAATTTTTTATACTATTTGTAAATGATTAATTGAACCTGTCATAATTTCCTACTACACAACAGAAAATACTTTTCTGTTAAATTATCTTAAAAAAGTATACAATATTTTATGCAGTTTAATCAATATTGATGAGTTTTAATATTGATAAAAAAAATTTTTAAGGTTTTCTTCTACTGCTATAATTTTATTTAACTATAGAAAATTTATAAGTAGTTATTGACACAGTTAGAAGATAGATGACTCTGTATTTTATGCCATTTTAAAATGAAAAAAGATTCTTTAATTGTAGTGGTAAATGATCAATTTATTATTAATTTCTTTTCGGTCACTAATTTTTGAAAAATAGAACTACTTAACAATTTTATTCATTAGATGTGTAAATAACAAACATTAATTAAAAATATTAAATGTTACATGCATATAATATACATGTGATTTATTTTTAGCATAAATAAAATAAAATTTTAATACATTTTTAAATGATGAAAGTAATTAAAATCAATTGCAATTTTTGGAATTTTTATGTTATTTATTAGAACTCTTTTATTATAATTTTTTTGTATCAAAACTGTACATGTAATTATTTATAAATAATTATTTTATTTGCTCCTGAACTTGACATAGCTTCTTGATCAGATACTAAACTTGCTTTTAGAAAAACAACACCTAAAAATAAGTATTCTAGATTAAATATTTCCAACACATTATGTTAAGAATATTTCTTATAATATTTATATATTATTCTAAATTAGAATTTATGAACATATAATATAGTTATGCGTTTTTAAATAAAACAATATGACAACATTATTATTACAAAAATAATAATTGAAGTGTCCAGTGTAAAATTTTGCCATCTCCACTTCTTTTCTCGAAAATTCATTGTTTTAAATTTGATAGAAAATAATTTTATCTATATTTTAATATGATTAATGATCATTCACCAATTAACTAATTTTTCACCATAATAGCCAATATAAAATATATATGTGCCCAATTTTGTACTAAAAGTATTTATTTTTTTGTGTTTCTTGTAAGTTTTCTAAATATGAGGATGGCTAGTTATAATTATTCTATGAAATATGACTCAAAATATTTTGTGTTAGCTTTTAAGAAACTGAAAAAATAAAATATTGGTTATAGGTTTTTACAATTATTTAAATTTTTAATTAATACATAAAAATATTGAGTAAATACATTATAACTGATTGTAGTTGCATATTTTAGATAATAAATAATCTGTATTATTTGTATAATTTAATTATTAAAAACATAAACAATAATTAAAAATACATTTAAATGTTTTATTTCTAAAGTAGATTTTCAAAATATAATCTGTTTTGAAAAAATTATTAATATAAAAGTCTTAAATAAATAATTCCAAACTCTATAGTATATATATATATATACATGAGAAATAAAGTTGAAAAAAGAAATGTTAATCATTAATTGAATTATAATAACAAAATTGTTATGACCTAAATTTTAAGTGTTTATAAGTAATAAACACTTAAAACTTTTATTTACTTTAATCAAAGAAATTTAATAGAAAAAATGATACAGTGAGTAATTTGGAATAAAAGAAATATTACTTTAGCCATTTTTTAATACTTTAATATATATTGTTTTATAAAAATATATTTTTATATCATATTATATTCAATATTAATTTTAAGTATTGAAATATGAAACATTAAAAATGAAATATTTATATTTTAGAATATGTTAATCTAAAATTCAAAACATATTTTAATAATTTATTACTGTTTTGATAACATAAAAATTGTAATATTTAATATTACAAATAACATCACCATTTAAAATTTATTAATGATAATCTGAGCTTTAATAGCACTATGTTATTAAACAATAATATGTTACCTGTAGGATTCGTTAAAACTTTAATCAATGAATTGGGCTCTAAAAATTTAGAAACTGTATGATTTGAGTACAAATTCTAAAAAAAAAAAAATCAATATTATAATAATATTAATTACTCCTTAATTAATAAAATATTAAAAATAATTGAATTTTTTTACTTTTATGATATAACCTTCAGGATTTATTAATCCAAGATCTCTTAATGAGGTACTATACAAGTATGGAGTACCTTCTGTTCTACGATTGACAAATGCAATAGCATAAGAGTAATATTTTTCACTTTTTGGTTCAACTGGCCTAACCCACACTTCAATTCCTTGATCCTAAAGAGACGTTTGTTGAAAAATCAGTTATATAAATTAGCAGAACCATAGTGATGGAACCACCTCCAAACAGTTGAAAAATTGAAACAAATGTTAGATTATTAAAATTGCTTCAGACGCCAAAAATGTTTACTAAGTTTTATAAAATACAACCTTGTATATTCTTCTTCCTTGTATTCCAAGCTTATCCTGATTTACTTTTATAATATCTGTGTTTTGAAGTATACTTTTGTATTCTAAACGTACAGAGGATAATTTATTTGACATCATTAGAGGAGCTGCTAAAATAGCCCATAGAGCCATCTGAGTTTTGCTCTGCTCATAACTCAAAGCAAAATTTCCAATTAACAGCTAAAAAGATAAGCAATTTTATGAATGAAATGATTGAGGTAAAATATTTATTATACCATATCAGGATCATTCCAATGTCCTGGACCTGCATTTAAAACCCAAGAGTCTTGTTTCAAAGCAATCATATCCACAATATTCATTAATGATGAATATGATTCCTGAATATCTCCATTAGTTCTCCATAAATTACAATTCTCAGACACAAGTTTATAATTTACCTGTAACTCATTAAAAGAGATATTTACAAGAATTTTTATACTTGATTTTATCCAAAATAAACATAACTTACATTAATTCCTTTCCAATCTTGATAAAATGGCCAACAACATGAATATACAATTGGTCTTCCGGTTTTGTTTAAAAATTTTCCAAATTGAGGAAAACCTGTTATTATTGTTTTAAATCAAATTGATTAAAAAAAAAACTTAAATTAATTTCTGATTCAACGTATTATTTGGTTTATCTACTTTTATGGCCTCATCAAGACTCTGAACCATATGTACTAACTTTTGTACAGCTAATGGAGAAGCAGTATCCTAATTGCCAACCAAATTATGTCTAAATTTACCTTTATCCATTCTACGCTCATCTATAAAACATCCATCAATTTTTATATAATCAATATCCCATTCAGCAAATGTATTAGCATCCATTTCTTCATGCCCTTCAATTCCAGGGTAACCCTCACAAGTTTTAGTTCCCACATCTTCATAAATTCCCNTTCAGCAAATGTATTAGCATCCATTTCTTCATGCCCTTCAATTCCAGGGTAACCCTCACAAGTTTTAGTTCCCACATCTTCAATCTCACNTCACAAGTTTTAGTTCCCACATCTTCATAAATTCCCAACTTCAATCCTTTAGAATGTATCTGCATGAGGGAATAAAATAATTATAATTACCATATAAAGCAATTATTGATTTGGAGTAGACTTTTTTATGTCCCAGTTCTGTCACCCATTGGATAGTTTATAATTTTTATCAAATTTTACGAGCATAGTATGTAAAAATAATGAAATCATAAATATATTAATAAATATACAGTAAACTCTGTTGGTAAGTTCTTTGTTATTTGATGTCCAATCAAAATGTTATTCAAGTAAATTTAAAATATATATTTCAATAATTGAGCTTACATATTCTGCCAAAGCTTTGATTCCATTTGGAAATCTTTTTTTATCAGCTTGTAATTTTCCTTCGGCAGAACGATTAGCTTCTAACCAACAATCATCAATGATAACATATTCATATCCAACATTAGCATAACCTTCACTAACTAATAAATCTGCTGCTTTTTTAAATAACTCTTCACTGTTATTTGTTAAAAAATAAATAAATCATGATTCATTATTATTATAATGGTTGAAATGGAGTTTGTTGTTTACAAATAATTCAATATTAACAATTTTAAGTATTAAAACCTTTCTAGTTTTTAATATTTAAAGGTAGATTATAATTTATCTTTAATTTTTTTATATCAATATATTATTATAATTCATGTAATAATTAAATTTTGATTTTATTTATTAAAATATCTTCAGTTACAAATAAATTTACAATAAACATATACTGAAAATTTTGTTAGTGAATTAATCTATAATAAAAAAAATTATATTATTTTTTTGTACATTATTTCATAAAAAGAAACTAAATTACTTGTAGAGTTATTAAAAATTATGATGTTCAGTTAATAAAATAATAGTTTTTTAGACTATGTATTTTGAAAAAATAATATTGGTATTTTAATTTTAAAGGGGTCATATATTTTTCTTTAATTGTTAATTACCCATTTTTTTAATGTATTTATAAAATGAACATATCTTAAAGTTACAGGTAAATACTTGTTTTATTTTATAAAATAAACTTCTTAATCTGAAAATTTTTTTTTTGCTGTATATATTGACTTTCATAACATGGACAATAGATATTTAATGTGATATGAATTCAAAATTTACCTTATGCACTCATCTGGAAATGTTTCGCAATCAATTGTACATCTAAATCTTTGCCAAGCAAGCCATCCCATCGGTGGAGTCAAGACTAGTCCATTATCTAGTGCATATAATGGTCTACTTAAAAAATTTATAATTAAGGAAAATGTTATCAAAGACAATTTAAACATTTTCAAAAACTTGGAAAATGTTAAATTTTAATTAAATAAGTTTGGTATCTGAAATTTACTAAATAACAGTATTAATCAAAGACTCTTAAATAAACAAAGAGTTTGGATATGTTAGTGTATTTATTAATTTGTTCTAATGATTTTCATTCAAGGTTATTTTTATTATTTTATCTTTTATTCTTTTTTAAATAATTTTATTTATTATTTCATAGGTTATTTTTTATATTTTAATGTGACCTTTAACCAAATTATAATAATTTATTGATATATCATATTAAAAAAGTAATAAAATGCAAGAATCTTTTTCGATTAATTAGTTTTTTCTCTATGCTAAAACTGATATCATATAGTTTATAGTATATAATATAATAAATAAATAAAAATCTTATCTTGTTTTATGCCATAAGTTTTAATATAAAAGTTCTATAAAAAACTTTTATGTTTTGTTAATATTTATTTATTTATATTTACAAGATGATTTCTTAATTATACACAAAATACCATCATTAAAAGTATGAAATAGTGCAAGTGGTCTCTTTCAAACCCTCCTGTACTTCGGTTTTTCAATGGATTTTATAAAATTTATACCAAAAATGTTTTGTTATCTGTTGTATACTCTATATAAATCGAAATTGGATCAGTGTTTTAAAAAATATGTAAATACATATTTCAATATGTATTAAAATTTGTTTGAAAATGCTATTTTTTACGGTAGCATAATTTTAAGATATTTATTTAAATTTCTAAAAATGAGGTATTTTTTCAAATTTTTGTCGTTGGGTTCTTCTACATTAAAATTGGGTTCTTTTGACACATTGATCATTAAAATCGGTCAAATGAGATCTAAGAATTTTCATAGATAAACATATAAAAAAACACACACCATCATAGAACCAATACCTTCTTAGCTTCTCATCAAAGCTAAAAATTTAAAGGCAATGTTTTTATTTTAAAAATAAATAGGAAAATATAGAATTTAAACATTATTGTTATTACATGATTAAACAAAATTTTGTTATGAAATTTTTTTCATAATGCTTTTAAAACCTTTCTTTAACTATTAAATTAAAAATTAAAATAATTTATAACATTTTATAATATTGTAAAATCTATGTTAATATAAATCTATAGATTTAGTAATTGATTTATCTTTTTTTTTCAATAATTTCCTCTAATAAAAAATTCATCATTGAGTATTGATGATCTTTCTATTTGATTAATAAATTTATATATGTTTTTCGATGCAAAGTTGAGAAGGTATCATTTTAATTTTTTTTTTTTTCAAATATTATATTCAGATGCGTGTTGATAGGGGTGAATAATATACCTCCCATGAGATCAGCTACTACTCAAACAATATGATTAACTTTGGTATATAATCTTTATTAGTATAATTTAATTATCTAAGCTAAAGTTTGGTATTTTTATCGACTCTGTTGCGTTATCATATAATTTTACCTATATGATGAAACAACCATTTTGCTGCAATTATATTTAGGTGATTTATATATTAAGTTTTTCTTTAAAATAATTAAATAACTTAATCCAATTGCCATACTTATCTAAAGGTCTATTTATTATTTATTTTACATAAGTAATACTAATTTTTTTTTAGTTTTTTAAACATGATATCCAAGGTAGTATTTTTTAAGACGAGAAACCCATCTACTTGCATAGTTAGCACAATGAAAAAAAATCATATGAGTAGCATATTTTGATAATATCTCTTCTATTTAAATTTAATAATGTAATACAATAGATTTGTATATATCGATATTTGATATGTAAATACCACAATAACTTATATTTCTATACAATTATTGTAAGTGTTAATGCAGCAATAACATGACAAATCCAATTTTTAAAAAAATCATGTTCTAATACAATTTTATTTGAAAAAAAATTACCAAAATTTATTATTAAGAACAAGAACATATCATCAATTTTTTTTTGGAATGAAGACATTTTATAATATTACTTTTCAATAAGCTTCCATATATAAATGTTCAATTTTTTCTAAAAAGTTTTGATAACAACTGTAATATTTTTGCACTGAATGCTTCAATAGTTCATTTTTTTTTTTGAAGAAGTTTTGATTAATTTAATGTTCAAATTAATAAATCTAGTAGATTACACTATAAAATGTTAGATAAAACAAATTTTAATTTGAAAAATTTTAATATTTTTTAAGGACTCAAGCTGAAATGTCTCAATTATGTCGAGGAACAATTCGTTTACATGGAGCTGACATACATACAGAAGATTCATGCACAATAGTTATTTCAAATGGAGGAGCACAAACTTTTCATCTAAGAGCTACAAGTGAAGTAGAACGCCAAAGATGGGTTACAGCTTTAGAATTGGCCAAAGTTTGTGTAGTTGGTCCAAGTATTTTAGGTAAAATATTTACCAATATAGAAAAAGCTATAATATGTTTTAATTATCCCTATTTTCTATGTAATATAATAATATATTTTTAGTTAAAGTATTAAATTTATTATATAAAATGATCATATTATAAGATAATTATATTATCAACAAAAAAATAATAATATTTTTTAGCTTAAATACAAAGCTGAAAAGGTATTAATTTTACTATGATGTGTTTATTTCTTTTATGACTCACGTTTTTACTTAAAACTCATAACACTTTAAAAATAGATGAATCAAAATAATTCTTTTTTATAAATACCTTAGGTGTTTCCGTTTCATTTGATATGATTTCTTTAAAAATCTTACAATTTACTTGACCACAAGAGGATTCAAAATTGCTACTTTTTCATACATATTAACCTTATCAACTTAACTTTTCAAAATATTTCAGAAATACTCTGATATTTAAACATATGTTAAATTAAAGATTATGTTACATACTCTAATTAAAAAAAAAAAATTGTACATAAGCCACCAAAGTTAAACAAAAAATTTTATTTTTTTGTAAAAAAATCACTTGTTTTATTGTTATTATAATTTTTTTACTTAAACATTTTACATAAATTATTTATCTATATTTTATGTTAAATGGTATAGACATATAGGAAGGGGTAAGCACTTCCAATTAACCCCTTTTACAAGAAAAATAATCTAATAAGAAAGATTTAAGTGTTATATATATTTTTTTCAGGGATAATTTTTTCAGCTTTTAATGTCAATAAGAATATTTAAAAAAATGGGTGTGTTCTTTCCAAAAAAAAAAGTTCTAGCTATCAATAATGTACAATAAAAATTGTTCACTTGTGGCTAATATTATTTATAATTAAAATTATATTAAAAATATTAATATATTTGGCTTATGATAAATTACAATATCATTTTCATAACTGAAATAACTAATAAAGATATGATTTTTTTTTTATAAAAATCTATACTTACAGTTTTTATATTAATTTGTCATAGAGGTAATAAAGTATACAACAATATTATAATTTTCTATAATTTCATTGTAATAAATTACAATACTACATTAGTAAATGTCAATATCATACTAAATTTAATTACTAAAATAAGTATTTATTCATGTGTTATAATAATAAATCATAGAATTGGTAATCAGGATATATATTTTAAGAAATATGAGTTGATATGTTATACTTATTACTTATCCTTGATATCAGTATAAGTTGATGTTGCTTTTGGAATAATCCAACAATTCTTTCTAGAAATTATAACTATCTACAGATTTCTATTGTAGTAATTTATTTGGTAGTGATTTAAATCCGAACTTTGTCATAACTCCACTATGCTTAGTTTCTTTATTGAATTATTTTTAGAATAATGTAACTTTTACTTAAGTTATAAATTCTAACTGTTCTATTGTTGTAATACTTAATTTAAAAATAAATATTTTATACTTAAAAATGGTTTTTATATAATCTTTTCTCGGATTTTACAATGAGATTATGTTCTTAAAACAAAAAATAAACTATAATAAAATTATATTAAAATTATAAAACTATAAATAATATTGGGAAAAAAATACAGTAATACTGTTTTTACTAATAATTCCTTATTATAGTTATTATTATAAGTGATAATTTTTCTTTAATGACTTTTAAAATTAGAATTATGAAATTCATTTTATTAGATGGAAATAAAGAAAAAGAATCATATGCAAATCTTGAAGTGTCAACTGCTGTATCAACATTAAATCAAAAGTTATCAGACCTACGTGCTCAAAATGAGTTAGTATCAAAACATAGTAAAGCTCTTCAACGTTATTTGACAGAACTGGAAAATTTAGATTTACCTTCTGATGTTTCTGTAAAAATAAAGGCCTGGTTTGAAAGGGCAAATTTGTTTCGTATTGCATCTATTGGCATGGTCACTGTAAGTATTTTTAATTGTCTACATTTATTTTAATTTTTTTTTGCTAAGTTTTTATATTGAACTTTTCCAAACTTAGCATAGTTATGTATTTTGTTTTTTCATTAGTAAAATAATGAGAAATCATCATCAATATAACATTAAAATTGGTAAAATTGTTCTAAATCGACAAAGAATATTAAAAAAATTATTGAACTATATTTTAGAACTGTTCAGAGTATCTAGAATTAGCTCAGAGTCAAGGTAATAAATGGCAAAAAATGTTATACAATGAGCGACGGCAACGGATTCAGCTTGTTGAAATGGTAGACCAAATTGCACGAGAACAGACTGTTATGGAACATGTAGCTAATAATGAAAAGCCAGGTAATACTCAATGATAACTGTTATATATAAACTACTGTTTAAACATTTATATTAATTGTACTATCTGATAAACTATAATATTTTACTTTGTTCAATTTTAAACAAATACAAATCTACTAAAATAACATTCTTAGTTAATTAATAACTAATGGTGGTATCTTATGTATATCATAATATATCAGTCAAGAAGAAATGATTTAGAATTGCAAAAATATAAATCTTTTATGAGACAGTTTTGTTTACATTTTTGTATATGAAACTTTTTCCAAAATGAAGAGACAAACAATATTATTATTATTCTGTAAACTTTTTATAATAAAATTTTATTAATTGCACAAGATAGTATTCATCTTTGAAATTCAGATGACCTTCATTACTTTATCTTCTAGGTAAATAAATTATGAATCGTGAACAAGTGATAAAAAAATAAGTTTTATTGGTCACTCAATTTTTCTTAATTAATTTTACTTAAATAACTTAGACATCTATATTATACCAAAGAAAACAATATTTCTAGTTTTTATTAATACATTTTTATTAACTTTTTTTTTTCGAAAAAAATCCTATATAAATTGTACAAAAAGCATCAGCATTAAAAATAAAATTCATTTTTTCATATATCCTTCATATAATAATCATAAATATATGCGCAAATAGTATAACATTTTTGGGAGTGCAAATTGTATTTCCCCCCAGTTATAAATAAAAACTCAATTTATTTTTCTAAATATTCAAAGCATCCCCTTATTGCACTTATGGTCATGATGAATATTTTTCAGATTTTTCCAAATTTGTCATGATTTTTTATAATTACTATAATTATTATAGAATGAACTTTCACGAATTTTTAACTTCTTTGCAAAAATAAAACTGAGATGATAATGTTTTTATCATGATGTGATTTTTTTATGTCGCCCATACAATTTTTTTAGCTTTCACTAGATTTATGTTTCTGATCATTATATCAAAAACTCAAATTAAATTCAGTTAAACTTATAGTCTTTAAAAATTCAAAAAATGTATTTCAATCTTAGAAATTTAGAAAAATAAATCATAATTTGACAATCCATAGAGTATACTAGGGTACAATTTCATAAGGTGGAAGATTTGAATATTGAAATACATAGCTATAAACTAACAATTGACAAAAAGAGACTGTTTAAGGGAGGCAAACAGAGACCTTGGGGCTAAATGAAATTTTTGCCTAGTTTTAATTAATGACTAGTTTATTTCTCGTCACTTTTTTTTATGGTAGCGATAATTTCCATTAAGGCGCTCAGATCCAGAGCTGACTATTCCACATTTTTTTCATTTTTGAGAAAATTATTGCAATCATCCTAATCTACTGCTATTTAGTGATGTGTGTATCAAAATAATTTATTTTTTTTAAATTTTAATAGATAGTGTCAAAAAATCATTTGGACCAAGCCTTATAAAAATTAATTCTATAATGTTATCCTTAATTTTTAATTTTAAAAGATAACTACTCTTTATAAGTGTAAAAGTATAGGTCTTCATTTTTTCAATTGAAATTTTAATTTGTCGTTTAAACTTCAATGTCGTTTTTCTCAGCTGTTATATCTAGAAGGGTAGTCCGCTCTGGCTCTGAGCGCCTCAAATATGAATTATTAGACCATTCTTACATTTTTTTAATTATTACAAAATTATAGAGATAAAATAGCTAAACTATATTATGATTAATTTTACATCCTTCTATTTCTCGAACTTAACATGCTACAGAGAGTGTTAGTCCTCTTTCATATATTAGGGAGTTAAAGATGATTCTTAGCTAGGCCAATGATGGATAGATATTATGACTGATTTGCACCAGAGACTAGAAATCACCAATGAGAAAATCACAAAAGAATGTCGACGGTACCCTGGGAATGAACCCAGGACCCTGTGCGCCAAAATATACGTTTCTACCCACTGGCCAAAGGGATTGGCCTTTAAGATGATAAATTATATAGATAATAAAAAATTGTCTTACTTATATGTTATAATTCACTCTTTACAAATACTATTTTATAAGATTTTAATTTCTTTTTATTGGATTTAGAATATAGTTATTAATCAATATTGAGTAATGCCACAATTTTAATTTCGTACGCAAATTTTTGTCTTTTAAAATAAATTAAATTTGGTGTAAAAGTCCAACATTGCTCTAAAAGAATACATTTAAAATTTATTTTGAAATAAACCATGTTTACACATTATTTTATTAAATTTGAATAATTCATCTAATAATTTTAGATTATTAAATACTGTTATTTGAAAAAAATTTTTATCCTTAAGTGGCTACCTTTTAGCTTCGATGCAAAGCTGAGAAGGTATTGGTTTTACTATGAAGTGTTTTACTATGATACCAAATGATAAGTATAGATATCAAGCATCTATAAAAAAGTTATGGCAGTTTTAAATAAAAACAACCCAGCACAGGGGGGTCGCAGCACAGTGGCGACGTGGCATAGTTGGATCAAGTATAAAATTAAAATAAAGGAGAACATTTTTTAACCATTGATATTCTGGGACCGGTGGTTAGTCCGTCATCGGAGAGAAAGATGGCGACTCCAATTACTGAATTGATCTTTTATTATAAAAATAAAGTCTCCGAGTTTCGAACCCGAGACAGAGCGCATAAAACACTGTCGTGTTATCAACTCAGTCATACCGCCCCTCTCTTATTAAAAATATAATCTAGGTAACTAGAGCTAAAAGGTTCAAAGTATCAAATATTTGATTCCGAAATAATTGAATTTTATTTAAATTGGTCAATGTTTTAAACAAATTTGAATCTAAGTCTTAAATAAAAAAAAACCCAGCACAGGGGGGTCGCGGCACAGTGGTGACGTGGCATAGATGGATCAAGTATAATGATATCTGACAGTGATTAAAATCACTATAAAAAAAACGCTTCGATGCAAATCTTTAGATAGTGTTTAATTTTAAAAAATTGGTGTATTATTCTAAAAGCTACATGATCTGCTAGTTCCTTATTAATATCCTGATTAAGATAAAGTATGTCGAATGAAAAAGGGTTTATTAAAAAATATTATTTCTCATAAAAAAATTGTGTGGATCCATAAACTTTTCAATAAGTTATAGCATTATAAAGTTAAATATAATATAAATAATAAAATCAAGAATTTTCACACGAAAATAGGATTCAGTTGCCATTTTCGCCGTGAAGACAAGTCCAGAGGTCAAATTTTTTCTTTTCAAATTAAAGTATATTACGTAAGCTTCAATTTAAGATATATATAAAATTGTCAGACTTTCCGGAACACTTTCAAAATTTAAGTTGAAAAAGTAAATTTGTTGTGAAAAAGTTATCATTTTAAATTCCCCCCTGTGGGCAGAAAAAAGGTCAAATTTACAAAAAAAATATACCAAATGATAGATAAACACATTATGCATTTATAAAAATAAAATTATATTGATATGTTCATTTTTGAAAAAGTTACGGCAGTTTTTAGTAAAAAAAATTGAAAAAATTTCGAAAATTAGCGATTTTTAAATTTGTAATTTTTTCGGAGGTTTCCCCCATTTACGGGGAACGAGGGAATTTTTTTCAATTTTGAAGGGTAATGTCTTCGACTAGATACGATTTGTGATCTTTTGACGTATCGTTGAAAGAAATCCGTTCGATGAGAGCTGAGAAAAAGTGGTAACAGACACAAAAAAAAAAAAACACATCATAGTAAAACCAATACCTTCTCAGCTTCGCATCGAAGCTAAAATTATTTATTACTACTATATACTGAAAGTGCGCACTGTTACCCCTAAGTTTTTCCTATAGGTAATAAAAAGGTTAATAATATTTTTTAGATTTTAAAATTGCAATTACTTCTCGGTAACACTTCATTTTAATAAATATTTTGTCGGCTTTAGTAGACATTCTTTTTTTCCATATATTTTTTATGAAAATCTGATTACAGGAAAGGTTTAAATACAGCATAATTTATATACTTGAAATTTCCTTTTATTTTCAAATTTTGAAATGACTGCCTTTTAAACCTATATCAAATTTAACTATTACTTTAAAATTAAATTTTAAGATTAAACAAAATTATTTTCCTGAATTTTCTTCTATAAATTGTTGGCCGTCGGTCAAAATTAGTAAAATTATCTTTAAATATTTATCTAAAATATATATATGTGTTAGGCTTTAAAAATTATTTAAATCATAATATGTATCAAAATAATATAATAAATATCTTAACTTTTCGTTATTAAAATTGTGTTAATTTGTAACATTTTAATTGGCATATATTTTCTTTTTAAATTTGATCAATTAACCATTAAAAATTTTGTTTTAAGAACTTATATTACAATTCACATTTTTTCTCGTCGGAGATCAGCTTGGGTCAGATTAAAGTGTAGCCTGATCCAAACTGATCAGATTGGTCTAGCCGCTAGACCAATCTAATCCGAATTTAGCCAAAAGTCTGATTGGATCGTAATATTGATCTTATGTTTTAGACCGGATCGGGTTTTGGTGTAAAATGGACCAGATCAAACATTGATATTAAATCATGTATGCTCGTGCAAATTATATAAAAATAAATAAAATGGACGATTATTTTCTTTGAAAATAAAATTTAATGAATGAAACTTAGAGAACTAAAACCTTTTAATTGCAATCATAGCACTTTTTGAATGGATCGGATCGTTTGGGTTTGATTTTTTTTTTTTAAACCGCCTAAAATTTTACTCATATATTTGGATTGACTTGGACCTGACCTGCAAAAATAAATTTCAAATCGGATTAGTTATTTTTTATTTTATGTGGACCGAATCATATTGGGCCTAAATTATTATATTTATAATCGGCTCGGATCAAATCGTTCTTCTAAAATAAAAATTCTAATTGAGCCGTATTTTTAAGGCACAAACTGATGTCTAGGTTTTTAATGAAAAATAAATAAAAAAAATGGAGTATTCAAAAAGTAATTTTGATTTGACTATTCAAAATTATTATAGTTGTTATCGAATGAATAGTATATTATATTTGTTAGAAGTGTTTCAAGGTAAATAAGTATTTACCCTTCCTTTAAATATTTTTAGTAGAATAGTACGAGACTACGCTTTGTTATATCGTGATCTATACGAACATTTTTTTACTAAATATTTGTAAGGAATTTTTTGTATTTATTCAGAAATTTAGAATTATTTGTACATTAACAACTTAAAATTTTTGAAACGGTATGTATTAATTGCCACGTTTCTTAATACTTTATGTTTAATTATTTTTAATCTATGTAAAATGTAAATTGAAAAGCTATTATGAATGATAATTCAACTTCGCGTTGCGCACTAGATATTATTAATTAATTTTCATCAACATCTATTTCATTTAACTACTGGAAGAGTATTCATTAGTTAAGCAACCTGTAGATTACATATTTTGTCGATTTATAATTTTCTACTATACACCTGTTTAATAGTATAGCTTAAAACCGGTCTATGATTACTAAAATCAAATGCTTTTAAAGTGTAGATATGTGTAGTAGTTTTCGTAAACTATTCCTATTTGTTGTTGATCATGTGTAACAGAGGTAAGAAATTATATCACTATGCTTTTTTTTATTGTATAGCATTTGTGAAAAAATTGATAGGTATCTAATGCTAAGTGTATCTAATACATTAAACAAGGTGAACAAATATTAATTGTGACCTCAATATTTATTCTACTTACGACACTTATTTTTAGTGTAGTGTATTTTTTCATTTAAACGAGCATTAAATGTAACAAAGAGAGTATTTTGTATCATTTTTTTAAGAACTTTACATAAAAAAACATGATAATATTGTCTGTTTTTGTTCTTTAATGTAATTTATGATTATGAAATATATGTATAAACTATAATTAAGAAATCGAATTCTTATGAGCAAATAAAAGAAAATTTAATAAATATATACCACATATAAGTTATTAACATACAAAAAAGAATTTATCTGTATTAGATCTAGCTGACTCAAATTTTACAACGTTTAGAGTGTCAAAAATTCATGTTCCCTATGTCTTCGCCGTCAATCCACTCATGATTGAAGTTTTTATAATTATCTTAAACGTTATAATAGATTTATGGGAATTTATATAAAGTTTTAGTTTTCTATTATAAAAACTTTTATTTTCATTTATGATACTTATTTTTCTATGATTAAATCATAAATTTTATGATTAATTTATAGTACTTATTAATTTATCTAAATTAAATAATTCGTTTTCGTATAATTTATTAGACTTTGTATGTTTTTTCTGATCATTAATATATATTAGATAGTTTGATTTAGTGACGATAAAAAAATTTCTACATATACGGTGCTAATATTATAGACATTGTTTTTATAAATATTAATTTGATATAATGACATAGAATAAAAAATTATAGACCATCGCGTCTCAACCTTTGATACTAGTCCATAAGGAGATCTCCCATGGTAAAAATTTGGAGTTATTATCAGTGTTTGGAAATAATGATTTCCATACATTTTATTATTTTTGCATTGATTGCATTCCATGAATGCATTTAATTCATTTTTAATGAATGGTGAATGCAAAAGAATTCAATTTTTGTTAAAATTTGAATATAAACTCTTTATTCCAAATAAAATTATAGAAAAAAATATATGATCTTATATATTATATAATCTTTTAATAAAAATATGGTAGATTTTAACGATGATCAGTTTGCGACATTAGTTAAGTTTAGTGGCGCAATCATAGGAAATTAAGGGGTTTTAATTCAAGTAACCCTTTTGTCTCTGATCTCATTTATGTGCTATTTAATACAGGTGTCTGCAAATTGAATAAACATAATTTTGTCAGCATTGAATTAGTATAATTTATTTATATAAAACTCCGCAGTTTTATTAAATTTTTTTTTTTTGCTTTTTTAAGTCTATTAAGGGTCATAGCGGTCTCCCATAAAGGAGAACATTTTTTAACCATTGATATTCTGGGACCGGTGGTTAGTCCGTCATCGGAGAGAAAGATGGCGACTCCAATTACTGAATTGATCTTTTATTAGAAAAATAAAGTCTCAGAGTTTCGAACCCGAGACAGAGCGCATAAAACACTGTCGTGTTATCAACTCAGTCATACCGCCCCTCTCTTATTAAAAATATAATCTAGGTAACTAGAGCTAAAAGGTTCAAAGTATCAAATATTTGATTCCGAAATAATTGAATTTTATTTAAATTGGTCAATGTTTTAAACAAATTTGAATCTAAGTCTTAAATAAAAAAAAACCCAGCACAGGGGGGTCGCGGCACAGTGGTGACGTGGCATAGATGGATCAAGTATAATGATATCTGACAGTGATTAAAATCACTATAAAAAAAACGCTTCGATGCAAATCTTTAGATAGTGTTTAATTTTAAAAAATTGGTGTATTATTCCAAAAGCTACATGATCTGCTAGTTCCTTATTAATATCCACATTAAGATAAAGTATGTCGAATGAAAGAGGGATATAAATACTACTTCTCATGAAAAAATTGTATTGATCCATACATTTTTTAAAAAGTTATAGCACTTTAAAGTAAAAAACCCAGCACAGGGGGGTCGCGGCACAGTGGTGACGTGGCATAGATGGATCAAGTATAATGATATCTGACAGTGATTAAAATCACTATCAAAAAAAAACGCTTCGATGCAAATCTTTAGATAGTGTTTAATTTTAAAAAATTGGTGGATTATTCCAAAAGCTACATGATCTGCTAGTTCATTATTAATATCCTAATTAAGATAAAGTATGTCGAATGAAAAAGGGATTATTAAAAAATATTATTTCTCATAAAAAAATAATGTTGATCCATACACTTTTCAATATGTCATAGCATTATAAAGTTAAAAATGTAAAAAATAAAATCGAGAATTTTCACACAATAATAGCATTCGGTAGCCATTTTCACCGTGAAGATAAAATAAAGTCCGAAATTTTTTTTTACCATAATAAAGTATATTACATTAGCTTCAATTTAAGATATATATAAAATTGTCAGACCT